TTGATACGGAAGTGACCAGAGTCTCCACAGTACAGGCATAGGTTGGCCTTGCTTCGCCGTAGTTTTTCCTCTGGTGACAATGCAGGAAGAAGGCCAATCTGCACGGGTTCAACCTCGGAGGTGGTTGCTGGCTGGAGGATTAGTAGACAAGGTGGGTTGGACCTTGGGCATTACCCATGTGGGCCTGAAGGAGTATTTTTCTGACCGTCGTTCCCGAAGCCCGACGATCTAATTGGATGGCAAGTTGTACCATGCCCTCCAATGAGTCAGGCATGTCTACCAGAGCAAGTTGATCTTTCAAAGTCTCTGACAAGCCCAAGCGGTACTGATATTTTAGAGCAGTATCATTCCAGGCTGTGTCAGCAGCCCATCTGCTGAATTCACTGGTGTAGTCTTCCACTGGCCGCCAACCCTGTTGAAGTGTATGTAGCGCAGTCTCTGCTGTAGCAGTGTATTGTGGATTGTCATAAAGTTGAGCCATGGATTCAAAGAAAGTTTTTACTTAGTTAAAGACAGAATTGCTTTGTTCCAGGAGGTGGTGCGCCTATGTCTGGGCCTCATAGATCAGCAAGGAGATAATGAACCCCAACTTCACTGATTCTAATGAGAAAGTCCGAGGTTGCAAAACAAAGCACAGTTCACATGCATTTTTGAATGCACGGAATTTCCTGCGAGTGCCTGAAAAGCATTCAGGGGTTGGCACCCGAGGTTCTGGTGGTGGTATATAACCCCAGCAGGAGTGACAGGTTGAGAGTTTCCAGAAGTAGAGGCTGGCGCAGTTGCACTTGTAGCGGAGCTACGAGTCAAGTTGGTGGCAGCGGCAGACAGGTTCTGTATCCGTCCCTCAAGCTGGAAGCATCCCTCCTGAAGATTTGTCACAGCTTGGGTCAGAGCTGAAATTTGTTGGCACAGAGTCTCCAGAGGGGTAGCACCTCTTTCAGACTCAGACATGGCTGGATGTTTCTGTCATGTACCTTGGTTGAAGGCCAAGCTGATGAGAGGGCTTCCCGTGCGGCTCTGGTCCGATCACCCCTGAATGCAGTGACAGAGGTACAAGGCTCAAAGAAGTACAGGTGCCGATAGCTTGATAGCAGGTGATTGCCACGGTCCAGGATGTAGTCAAGATGAGCCAGGGACATACATTGTGGGACAGAAGCGTGGTCAGGAGGCAGGCCGGGGTCAGTACCAAATTAGCAAGCACAGAGAGGTCCTGTAACAAGCCGATGTCAGCACCAGGAGATCAGGCAGGGAATAGTCAGAGGTAAGCCAAGGTCAGCACCAGGAGATCAGGCAGAGAGTAGTCTAAGGCAAGCCAAGGTCAGAATCCAGAATCCACAGAGCAAGGTCAGGAACAAGCCGGGTCAACAACGGAAGCGAAGTCAATACAAGCAGGAACACGGGGCACAGGAAGCTGAAGAACATTCAGCGATTAGTACACAGCAGAGTCTCCTTTAAAGAGGCAGCTTGGCGCCAATGCGCGATCGCCTACGTGTCAGTGCACGCTGGATATTAGCCTGTTTGTCTATGTGCTGGAACAGGTGGACGAGCATTAGGTGCACGGGAATAGCATTAGCTGAAGAAGAATTAGCATTAGCTGCAGTAGTTTCCAGGCAGTATTGCAACTGCCTATTGTTGTTCCAATGTTGGCCTTTCTAAAACAACAAAAATTATGGAAAGTAAATTGTGCATGCTCGTGGAATGGCGCCAAACTATGGTATTGAAATATCTCCATAGGCGACGCTTCAAAAGCCTTTACAGGTTACCAGCTTAGAGTTACACAGGAGGTCTGGTGTTAGAATTATTCCTCTTGCTCTGACGTTCGCAGAGATAGCTCACATATGTGGTGTAAAAAGCCTTTGCGTGCAAGCATGGGCAGACGGGGGCGCTTTAAAAAAAGTGTTCTTATTTTATTATGCAAACATCCCTTGTGATAAGAATCAGCAGTGACAGGTACTCTTTATGGAGAGATCTGGGGTCTATTAGATGTCTCAGCTGCCCTTAACCGCCTCCTGCCCGCCATATAAGGAAATGATGGGCACAAGGCAGTTCTCTCGTTCTGGGAGGAAGTCATATGATGTCCTCCCGCTCTAACCACGCGTGTCCCCCGGGGGCATGCAGCGTGGCGATTGGTGGTGCGCTGTGTCTCTGGGACACAGCGGATCACCGATCAACGGAAGGAGCTGATAACTTCGACTCAGTCATGTGATCAGCTGTGTCCAATCACAGCTGATCGCATGTAAATAAGGAAATGCCAGTTATCGGCATTTCTCTCCTCACGAGCTGTCACGCCGACAGCTCGTGAGGAGAGGAGAGCCGGTAATCGGCATTACTCAGAGGAGACATGTACACTGATCATCAGGGCACTGATGATCTATGTGCCCTGATGATCAGTGTAGCCCCATCAGTGCCACCTGTCAGTGTCCATCATGCCACCTGCCAGTGCCCATCAATGCCACATATCAGTGCCTACCAGTGCACATCAATGCCACATATCAGTGCCCATCTGAGCTGCCTTTCAGTGCCACCTATCAGTGCCATATATGAGTGCTGCCTTTCAGTGCTACCTACCAGTGCCTCCTCATCAGTGCCCCTCACTGCAGCCTCATTAGCGCACATCAGTGAAGGAGAAAAATCACTTATTTACAAAATTTTATAACAGAAACTAAGAAAATACTTTTTTTTTTCAAAATTTTCAGTTGTTTTTGGTTTGTTTAGCAAAAAATAAATAAAAAACCCAGAGGTGATTAAATACCACCAAAAGAAAGCTCTGTCTCAAAAAAAATTATAAAAATTTCATATGAGTACAATGTTGAAAATTGGCCTGGGCAGGAAGGGGGTATAAGTGCCCTGTAGGCAAGTGGTTAAAAGCATCTGATCACACCAAGATCAGTGTGGTCAAATGCTTTCGCAATTTAAAAATGGCACTACTGACATTCGAACAAAGTACTCATCACTTCTGCTTTCCTATACTGTGGAGATAACCGGGGACATTCCAGTCCTCGGTCACCCTGTGGAAAGCCGCCGGAAATGCTCCCCGATGGGACGCCTGTAAAAACAATCCAGTGGCTAATTAGTCGCTAGGGTTGCTTTAAAAAAAAAAAAAAACAGAATAGCCCACTGAAAAAAAAACAATACCGGAGTGATGCCTGTAGCTGCAGGTGTCATGTGGTATATCACTTGAAAATGCTGATGTGCAGAGAGCACAGGAAGTTATCAGATTCTGCATTCATCCAATAGAAGTTCATTATTAGGGTTTATATACACTTCAAAGTCCCCTCCTCTGGAAATGGACCCTATCCTCATAAATAATCCCCCCTGCCCTTTGGTTAATCACTGGAGAAAAGTTTTATTCCTCCTAATCTACAAATCCCAAAGACTTGCTTGACAGTTTGGCACAGGAGCACAAGAAACTGTGACAGTTCTCATTCACAGCATGTCTTCACTGTAGCAGTAAATTTGGTGGCTTTAGTATCGCTATAATTTACACCTAAATAACAGATCCATTTGGTTGTGGTTGATGCCAAGAACACACAGGGACCCTATGGTCCAATCATTTTCCATCTACACTGTGCAGTCCCCACATTCTTTCACCAGTGACACCAATCTCCCTATAGATCAGCCTTTCTCAACCTTTTCAATGCAGAGGAACCCTTGACATAACTTTCCTGTGTCAGGGAACCCCTGCTGAAAATGACTATATACAATTCACGATACATTCGTTTGATAGATGCTCCTTACACTTGTGGGTCCTTGGGAAGAATTACCCCCTTACAGATAGCTAAAAAGATCAATGATGTCAGTGGGGATCCTCAGCTGAGAGGCAAAAATTGCTCAATGCTCAAGGAACCCCTGGCAACCTCTTGAGGAATCCTGGTTGAGAAACCCTGCTAAAGATCATTGTGGAATATGCAGTAATCTGTGATTACATGATCTATGGAAATACATTTTGCTGCACCTGGATGTTGAAATTGAAGCTTTAGACCAGGGGTCTCCAAACAATGGCCCTCCAGGCGTTGAGGAACTGCAAGTCCCATGAGGCCTTGCAAGACTCTGACAGCCACATGCAAGACTCGCAGAGGCATGATGGGACTTGTAGTACTTCAACAGCTGGAGGGCCATAGTTTGGAGACCCCTGCTTTAGACCAATCAGAATCCTTCTTTCGTTCTCTATGTGCAGGTTGGCTAGATAAAAGCAAAGCTCCATCCAAAAGGGGAAGTTCTGCTTTAACCTCTCCACGCTGGCCAAACGCAAATGTGCGGCCTAGACGCCGAGCGGTCGCACATTTGAGTTCTATTCGAAAAAACATATGTGCTGAGAGCGCGCGCCCTGCATGCTCCCAGCACACGTCCAGTACTCATGGAATGGTCCTGATCTCTTTTGATTGGGACCTTTCCGGATCATGTGACGGTGTGTCAGATGACCCTAAACCCCGCCTCCTGAAACCCTTAAAGGGCTGGTGCCAAGGGGTTAAGCACTGGTCCCCTGCTCCCGTGAGGAATTGGCACCTTTGGCGAGCGAATACCCGATTTGGACAGGCACTTGCTCCTAGGCGATTGGAAGCAGAACATGTCCTAACTCCCTCCCCATAGTCTTCTGAGACACGTGACAGGTCCCAGAATACTACGGGACCATTCACAGTGCGCAGCGCTTCTTGCGCATGCGGGCACCCGGATGTGAAGCCGCCAGCTGTAAAGATGCCGGTGCCAGGGAGCAAGGACGGCTACTGAAAGCGGCTGCAGTGAGTACAACATGGGATCGTGGGACAGGTAAGTGGCTGTTTTTTAAAAGTCAGCAGATAGTTTTTGTGGCTGATTACTTTTTTTTTTTTAAGCTTTGACTGGGGTTTGGTTTCAGGAAAATCCCAATTGATCTAGAAGGGAAGAGTCTGATATTTTCCCTGCAGTCCAAGCTGATCCACATTACTGGCTGAACCATCTCCGATGTGCCCATCGCTGGAGCATGCCATAGACCACACACATCACCGTTACACATCACTCACCATATCGCACAGGCCTGCTATTAATCCCGCGACCCGCCCGCCTCCTCCCACAAGCTGTAGAAGCCGTCCATAGACAGCCAATCACCGTTCAGGAAATCTAGGATGCCATTTCCTATTGGTGAGCTATCAGCGTCCCAGCCAATAAATAAAAACAAAACAAAAAAAACTTTTATTCTTTATTTGAACGAGGCTTGAAACTCATCAACGCTTCCTGCATAGAGAGGACGCAAAAAAGTGACGTTACCCGGGTTGCCAAGGACACCGCCGCCGGGATTGGCTATTGGTTGGAGACTTGAAAGCTCCACCAATAGGGGTTGAGTGCCTGCTCTCTGCTGATTCTCAGCCCATGGCTGGGGATGTTATTATAGGAGTGTGGGTAATTGTTCGCTGTCTGCTGGGGGTCGGTGCCGGACAGGTGAGGAGACGCGACAACTACACGCCGCTTATCCGAACACTTCATGTGTCTCATTATAGCTCGAGCCTTTTAGGTGAGCCACCTAAAAGCCAATCAGAATAAAGCTTCAATTTCCATCTGTCATTTTCAGGTGAAGGGTTGCATCCGATTGGTTGCTAGGGGCAATACAGACAGTTTGTATTAATTTCACTTAGTTCTGTAGGGCTGGCATTTCTTCTGTTTTCTTTAATAAGAACACATTGATGTTCACTCCTGGGACGGCTTATCCCACTCTCTCCTGCTTGGTTCCTCCTTTTGCACATTTTTTTTTTTTTCGTTGGAAATGTCTCCCTGGCACTTTCTGCCCCCAGCTTCCTGGAATACTCATGTTAACCCCTTCATGCCTAGGGGTAAAACCAAACTAAACGCCTAAGCAGAATTTTACAACTTTTACCTGTGTTAGTAAAACCGTACATATTATCACAACTACTTTGTACATCCAGGTGAATTACACCTTGGGGTTTTTTTTTTCAGGACAAATTTGGGCTTTCATTTGGTGGTAAATAGTAATGGATATCTCCTGATTTTAGTTTTTTTTTTATTATCAAAGGAAAACTGGCCCAAAATAGTAAAAAAAAAAAAAAAAAAAATAGTTTTTTATTTAGCTGTGTTTCTTGTTACTACCATAACCTACCACCAAAGAACAACCCAAAATAAATTCTCCAGCTATTGATGATCACAGTAATACCATATATGTGTATGTTGTTTGTACCCATAGTACAGCCCAGAAACAATAGTGCGCCTTTTTTTTTTTTTTTTTTTTTTTTACCTAAGACACATTGACACTAACTGACACCAATTTTTTTTTTTTTAAATCTTGACCTTTGACCCTGACCTTAACACAAACACTAACCCTGGCACTGAACTAGATCAAACCTTGATCTAGGTATTTTTTCTTTATTTTTTAATATTTATTTATTTTTAACAGAAACATTTTTCCCTCTATGCCAGGAGATAGAGAGATACAACGTACCTCTCTCCTTCATAGAGAGAGAAAAAAAAAAACAAGAGGGCCGGGTAGTACAGTGACTGATCAATCAGAGGCTATCACAGCGATCATGTGACCTGGAATCGGGGGTCCCGATCGTTGGAATCGGGAGTCCCGATCGTTGGAATCGGGGGTCCCGATCGTTGGAATCGGGGGTCCCGATCGTTGGAATCGGGGGTCCCGATCGTTGGAATCGGGGGTCCCGATCGTTGGAATCGGGAGTCCCGATCGTTGGAATCGGGAGTCCCGGGTCCCGATCGTTGGAATCGGGAAGTCCCGGGAGATCGTTGGAATCGGGAGTCCCGGGTCCCGATCGTTGGAATCGGGACCCGGGGCTCTCAGTGACACCACGGTCTGTTCTGGGAACGCTCTGAGCTGCACACTCCTAGCACAAAGACAGGTACGCAAATATGCGGCCCCATGGAAAAAAGCCCAGCTCTGTGAGGCTGCATATTTGTGTTACATCGGCATTAAGTGGTTAAGCATCCCTAGAGGTATTGGACCAATCCTGTGCCTGTGTCATGGCGTGTTATCAGGGGATGGCTGCAAAAACCTGAAAATAACAGCCACCCCTGATGACGGAGGAGAGGAAGATGGCGGCTTAGGACCTGCTGTGCAGTGGTGGATTGTAACAGAACATGCTGGATGCACTGGGCGGGGGAGTATGTTTATTAAAGCAGACCTTTGTTTAAAAGCACAAGTACCAGTCATCGTCCTCCCCACCCCCGTTCCTAATACATTTAATGTTTTTATTTTTATTTTTTTACAGGAAGGGGGTACCTTACCAGAAATACTCTTATTTATACTATTGATCTTTATCACCAAGCAAAAGTGAAAGGAAATCCTACATTTTAGAGCTGCCCTCAGAACAAGATGTAAAGGGAAATCTTGCAATGGGGGCACCTATTCCATGAACAACTCTCTTTGACGGGAGAAATTTCCCAAAGTGAAGAGAATTCCCAACTACCTATTGAGTCTCTGGAACAGGAAGTGTAGGGAAATTTTCCCAATAAGGCACAGACAGCAAAAAAAAAAAAAAAAAAAATTCCAAGGACACCCAAACTCATGTCCTTTTTGTTATCCTTATAGACACAACTATTTAGAACGTCACTTATTGTGTAATTATCTCCAGTGTATGTCGTGTGTGTTATATTAATGCACTGTAACATTGAGGGTAGTCATATAATGCATGAGAGATTCCTGCTATTCCATTATTGAATGATATTAGGGATCAAATAAAAACAGGAATTTAATAAAAAATAAAAGGAGCTACGGCCTGTACTGCAGCACAACCTGATCATTGGTAATACAGCCTGCATTGTACTGTGTCTTTGTGCCTTACTTGAATGCAAGGAGATGTCATTGACTTCTGTGCAGAGCTGAAAGTAGGTCATGTGACATTCCCCATAGATTGCAATGGTACCAGTTTGGTCAAAGGTGATACCGTGTCATATTACAGGCTCTGTGATCTCAAATGGATTATATTTTTCTTCTACAGATAATTACAATCTTTCTGTGCACAGTTAAAATGGTTAGAGTGATTCTTATCATTTACATTTTTTTTTTCCTAGGTTGAAGCTGTATAAATTGATTCAGAAATGGCAACACGTTTACGACCTGTAAGTATTTTCAAGTATTGTTGGCTTTTCACTTAACCGCTTGCTGCCCGGGCCCATTTTGACACTTCTCATATACATGTTAAAATCTTAATTTTTTTGCTAAAAAAATTGCTTAGAACCATCAAACCTTATGTATTTTATGAAATTATCAATCAATTTATCAAATGTAAATTTTCTGGAACAAATACGCTTAAATGCATTTTAGTACACAAACACAATACCCAAGTTTTTAGTAAAATATAAAGGATTATGCTGCGCCGAGTAAATCGATACCAAACAAGTTAAGAATTAAAATTTTGAATGTTTGTGAAATGGCAACAAACTACAGTACCGAATGAACAAACTCTTTTTACTCTAATGCAGCTACATCCTAAACAATAAGTGACTCTCTGATTAATAATACAATTTTCCAATATAATAATAAAAAGCATGCTGTATATCATAAAAAAAGTGTGTGTGTGTGTGTCTTTAACCCCATCATGCCTAAGGGTAAAACAAAACTTAAAGCCTAAGTAAATATTTACAACTTTGACATGTGTTAGTAAAACCGCACACATCATCACAACTACATTGTACATCCAGGTGGATTATACCTTGTTTTTTTTTTCAGGACAAATTGGGTTTTCATTTGGTGGTAAATGATAATGGATGTCTCCTGTGTTGTGTGATATATTTTTTTTTTTTTTTTTTTTTTATTATCAAAGGAAAACTGGCCCAAAATTAAAAAAAAAATTTTTTTTTTTTTTTTTTTTTTTGTTATATGTAGCTGTGTGTTTCTTGTTACTACCATAGCCTACCACCAAAGAACAACCCAAAATAAATTTTCCAGCTCTTGATAATCGCAGCGATACCATATGTGTATGTTATTTGTTGTTTGTACCTGTACTACAGCTCAGAAACAATAGTGCGCATTTTGGTTTTCACCTAAAACTAACTGATACTAAAAAAAAAAAAAAATCCTGACCTTGACCCAAACACTAACCCTGGCACTGAACTAGATTAAACCTTGATCTAAGTTGGTTTTTTTTGTTTTTTTTTTTTTATATATATTTTTTGTAGTTCTTTTTTTTTTTTTTTTCAGTTTTTTTTTTTTTCTCTCTGCAAGGATAGAGAGAGACAGAGAGATAAATGTATCTCTCTCCTCTATTCAGAGAGGGAAAAAAAAAAACCAAGGGGTGCGGGCTGACACAGGGAAACACACAGGGAAACACAGACTTCAGGTATAGTGTGTAAAACAATATAATTTATTAAGGGCAACACAAACATAAACGCAGTGCAACAAACCAAACCCAAAACTAACACAAATACGTACAACAAGTGTGCAACAGACCCAAACCTTACTTGAGATATATATATATATATATATATATATATATATATATATATATATATATATATATATATATATATATATAAAAATAGAGAACAATGTAGTCAGGCGGGTCGATAGCTAACGGGCAGACAAGGTACAAAGAGTAGGCAGAAGATTGGTCAGGAGTAGCCTAGGTCGGTGCGGGCAGAGTCAGGATGAGGCAGGAAGCAGACAGGATGCAGGTACAGGGGCTCATGGGAACAATACACCAAGGCCCTGACTGCAGGCCTGGCCATTCCTTAAATACACCTCCTGCAATCAGCCTCAGGTGATGGCTTGATTTCAGGAGTGAGCTTCTGGCTGCGGAGTACCCGCTGGCGAGCCCTGGTACTGCAGCCCACAAAGCAGGTGAGTCCCACCACCATTGGGGAGTCCATTCCTGACAGGGAGTCCCGGGTACCAATCGTTAGAACAGGACCCAGTGCTCTCAGTGACACCCCGGTCTTTGTGCTGGGAGCACGCTGTGTGGCATGCTCCCAGCACAAAGACAGTTACGCAAATATGCAGCCCTACGGAAAAAAAGCCCAGTTCTGTGAGCCCTCATATTTGTATTACGTCGGCGTGAAAGGGTTAATAATCACTCCACTTTATACTGTGTTTTAATAGTCTCTTCATGCATCTTTGTTAGATTGCTCTATACACTGCAGACAAAAAACACTGTAGAGGTTCCTTTTACTCTCCACCACTTGTGCTTAAACAATAGATGTGCTCTTCCCTTCTCTTTTTGACCTATATATTGCAACATGTCAAAACTCGCTTGTTTCCCTTTACTGGATCTGTCAGCCTCAAAGTCCAGAAGGTGCCTGGAGAAATCTAAAAACCCCATAGTGCATTCTCTTTAAAAACATTTATTAAAACCAATTTCGCACATATATCTACTCTTGTGTGTAAGTGCGCTTTAACCCTGAGGAAGTCACGTGATTGGTGATGAAACATGTTGGGCGGAGCTTGGGTGATGTCATCAAGTGGAGACGAACTAGGAAGTGACCCTACACTTTAGTTGTATGTATACAAATTGCTGGTAACCCTGCAAAAACTGTCTTAAAGTACAAATAAAAGCAAAGAGACAGAGTGGAGCTGGATTAGAACACCTGTCAGTTTTTATTGCTGTTTGTGTCCCCATTAGGGAGAGTCACCCTCTCTTTTTGTCCTGTGTACCATTACAATAGAAAGTGAAAGTTAAGAAGATTGCAAATTTTGCGTTGTCCCCCGAAAAGTAATAGAGGGAAAATCTTTCAATGGGGACACTCGTTCTGGTGACCTGGGGGAGATTCCCTTAGTTTGCTAGGATTTCCTCTCACTTCCTGTTTTGACTATGGGACAGGAAGTGAAGGTAAATCTCCCAGAGTTAAAATACTATGACAGCTTGGACAGTGACAGGTAATCTTATTGAGAGATCAGTCGTCTGTTAGACCCTTGATCCCTCCTCTGCCCTTCAAGGCAGCCAATCAAACACAGATTGGTTTGATTGGCTGCCTCCCTGGCCGATATCAGTCAAGTAAACAAAGATCTGAAACCGGAAATTACAAAATCCTCATTGCTTCTGACGTCATGAGGAGGACTCATGTGCTCAGCCTAAACGACTACTTGCAGCAGTCCCAGGCTGCCCAGAAGGACAGGGGAGCCCAGGAATGATTGGGGAACCCTTCCAAGCCCTGTAAAAGTGATTGAGCAGCTGTATAGCTGCTTGAATCATTTTAGCATGAAAGCCGATCACCAACTGAAAAATTTGATACTATAATTGATAATATGGATAGAGTGAACGGTCATGTTTTTATTGCTGTGTGTGTCCCTGTTGGGAGATTCACTCTCTCTGTTTGTCCTGTTTACCGTTACCATCTATCAGGAGTAGAGGGGAAATGTTCCAATGGGGAACTTGGTGACCTTGGTGACAACCAAGGATTGTCTTACTTTGGAGGGATTTCCTCTCACTTCCTGTTTTAGGTATAGGACAGGAAGTAAAGAGAAATTTCCTTAATGGGACACAGCAGAAATGAAATTGACTGGGGTTATAACCCTCTCTTACTCTATCAGCAATGGGAACAAAATAGTTCTACTTTAAGATTTACATTGTTGACACTGTTGTTCTGTGTATAGGATTGCATGTTAAACAAAATGAAGTAAGAGAATGAGGTGGCAGCTTTTGTCTATGGATGTAGTGGGCAGGAAATCAGCCATGTCTCTGAAAACAGCTCCTCAGTTTAGATATTTTGCGTTGAATGTCAAGAAATTAAAATATCTTGCACATGGACATGTACACAGGTATACTGTAAGTTTTGATGTTTCATAAGAGGTTTACTTAGCTAAATTTTGAAATGCAATAACTGTTGAGCTTTTATCTGCCATTGTCTGATTTTCCTGAAATAGTCATTCAGAACTCTCTCGGCGTCTTGCAAAAAAGCTGTCAGATACATGCACGTTAAGGGCCAAAAAAAAAGTAAATAATCCTAGTCTCTTATTTGTGGCCATGGTGCTGTGCAGTGACATGTTAAAAATGACTATCCAGAAGAAGGGATATCTTTGCATCTTGCTTATATTTTTTTAGATTTAAAAGATTTTGCAGAAGACCTCCTCAAGTGATATTACATATCTTAGTCCAATGTAATATTTTTTTCCCTTTTTTGTCTTTTTTTCCAGGCCAGCAAAAAGTGCACAGTCATTGGGGGCTCGGGGTTTCTTGGTCAACACATGGTGGAGCGCTTGCTAGAGAAGGGATACTCTGTTAATGTGTTTGACATGCGACAGGGCTTTGAGAATGATCGTGTCCAGTTTTTTGTTGGCGATCTCTGCAACAAACAGGTAAAATATGTTATCTTGCCCAGACCATCAGTTTTTGTCTCCTTTTTATAATCAGGCAGAGTTTCCCTGTAGACCACAGGCAAACAAATCAGTATAAAAGTCCCAAAAATATTTGGCCCAGCTGTCGTGTTTTTTTTTTTTTGTTTTTTTTTTTTTTTTTTTTTTTTTTTTACTGGGCACAGTGACTACGAGGACATGCTCTCGTCTGAGAGGTGTGTTGACTAAGCTGTGTTCAGCCAAGCTTGCAAGTTGTTGCTGGCACTGCACTATCAGAGGGTACAGTGGCAATCAGGACAGGTTTCTGACCTGTAATACATAAATCACATTGCACTGAGCTTATGTCTTTTCTCCCCTTTTTATCCAAATTCCTTGAAGGTCTAGTCTACAAGAGACTGAGCAGCCATCTCACTGAAAATAACCTTGATCTACTTCAGTCTGGATTTTGCCCTCAACACTCCACAGAAACTGCTCTTCCAAAACTCACAAACTATATACTAACTGCTAAAACCAAAGGATACTATTCTGTACTACTCCTGGACTTCTCTACTGCCTTTGACACAATGGACCACACCCTCCTTAAACCTCCACTCCTTTGGTCCCCCTGAGTGTACTTTTCACTGGTTCTCATCCTACTTATCTCACCACACCTTTAGCATCACTTACAATCTCGCTTCCTCCTCTCCTTCTTTTCTTCGTCGGGATCCCGCCAAGGTTTTGTTCTTGCACCTCTCATATTTTCAATCTGAAACCTCCTCACTGGGTCAGTTGATAGCCTCCTATAGCTTCCAATACCATTTTTACGCTGATGACGTCCAAATCTCTCTGTCCACCCGAGCTCATAATAAATCCTCCTCCACGTGTCCTATCCAATGACTTCTCTGTCAAGATCGATGGCACAACTGTTAACCTGTCCCCACATGCCAAGGTGGTAGGTGTATTCCTGGACTCTGAACTATCCTTTCAGCCACACAGCCAATCACTCTCCAAAGCTTGCTGCCTCAACCTCCACAACATCTCCAAAATATGTCCCTTCCTAGCCAATAACACCAAAAAGCTTTTAATTCACTCTCTGGTCATCTCTCTCGCCTCAACTACTGCAACTTTCCTTTACATAGGCTATCCCCTCTTCATTCCATCATAGACACTACTGCCAAACTCATCCACCTTACCAACCGTTCAGTGTCTGCCACCCATCTCTGCCAGTTCCTCCACTAGCTTCCACTCACCCAACAAATTAAATTCAAAATACTAACAAAACTTATAAAGCCTTCCACAACTCAGCCCTAGCTACATCACTAACCTAGTATAAAAATACCAACCAAATCATTCTGTTTGTTCCTCCCAAGTCCCTCTGCTCTCTAGCTCCCTTGTCGCAAGCTCCCTTGTCGCCTCCTCCCATGCTCGCCTCCAGGACTTTTCCCAAGCCACTCCCATCTTATGGAATTCCCTATCCCAGTATGGTCGACTATCTCCTACTCTGTCTACTTTTAGACGATCCCTGAAAAATCTTCTCTACAGAGAAGCCTATCCTGCCCTCACCTAACAACTGTACTATTATTTTCTCCATCAGCTCATCCCCCCACAGTTATTACCTTTTGTATCAATTGACCCTCCCTCTTAGATTGTAAGCTCTAACAAACATTACAAAGAATATGGGGGGAGTGGCCTGAACATGGCTCCGTGAGGAGCAGGAGCTCCAGACGCCTGCTTGAGTAGATGTCCCTGATCTGTTGAGATCTGCTGTGAAAGTACCTGGGGCCCGGGTTGGTGTGGCAGTGGTCGGTCGCGGGACTCCTGTATGTGGATGTCCCGTTTTGGTGGACCGGTAGCGCTGTGGGTCCTGCCAATGTGGAGTCCTGGTGCGGGCGGATGGTTGGCGGCCAGTGAAGTGCACTGGCGGTCCAGGAGAGCGAGGGAGCAGGAGGAGGCAGCATTGGAGGTGAGGGGGATGGTGGGAGAGCCCAGGTGACTGCCCATGTGACAAACCCATGTGACCGAAAGGAAACTGGAAGTCTCGAAGGTCCGGGGGAGCGGTGGCTCCACGGATGAAGAGGAGGCAGGATACCTGAGGCAAATGTCGCCCCCCCCCTTCCTTCCTGTCTGCAGGTAATCCTTAGATACCGCTGGATATTTGAGGCTAAGAAACCCCCCCCCAACAATACTACTGAGATTTGGTTCGGTGGCCACGGCTTGGATTCTAAAGTGTGAACTGGGACTGAAGGAGCCTAATCTGCTGGAGGGTGTTGGTGAGTTCCCTTGGGTCTTTCCATTGGGACATTCCAATCTTTGTTATGCACAATATCTGTGTTTGTTGTGTAAAGCATATCTAAATAGCAGGGGGGACAGAAGATTGTATTGCTGGGGTACTAAGTGGTTGACGGAACAGTTCAATTCACTCCTGCTCCTAAAGTAGCACAGTAGGGACCGTAAAGGCCAACAGAAGGAAGAGATAAAGGGTCTTTTTAGTGCGGACGATAATATAGCATCTATGTATTACTAGACGACCCAGTGGCAAAGCCTAAAGAGATGAGGAGTAAAGCGGTTAAAGGCGGGGGGAGCAAACCCCCCCCCCCCCCAATCAGAAGCAAATATTAGTACAATAAGGAAATCTCTACCGCTACAAGAGAAAAGCCATGAAAATGTGACCCCCCCCCCCCAATAAACAGGATAGATTTAGAAAAAGTGTTGGCGACCAATCTAGAATGTCATGTGGGACATGAGACGTGAACCAGAATAATGAATCAATAAATGCGGACACTATAACTGACCAAAGTGTCATGGAACATCAAGGAGCTATGTCACAAATATCTACAAAGTTAGAAAAGGCGTAAATATTTGCGAAACTGTCCATGAAAAATGAAATTGTGGCAATCCGAAATTATTTGGGACAAATGTTGACAAGAGTTAAGAAGTAGAAGGGAAAATGGAGACATGTTCACAAGTAATTACTAAATTAGAAATGCAGGTGGAAGAGATACAAAGAGAACAGAGAAGACTCTCCTTCAAACTAGAAAATAAAGAAAATAGAGACAGAAGAAATAACCTAAGGATCCACGGTCTGCCAGAGGAGCCCCAAGGGGACGACTTGTGGGAGAAAATAAAGAGTGCTTAATCCATTGATGGGTAGATCAGTAACAGATCCTTTGAAAATGGAGAGAATACACGGGTTTAGTCGAGTAGCGACAGAGTCCCTCAGAGATGTGATTGTTTGTTTGTTTCCACCACTACAAAGGTGGAGAAAGCATATAAAAAAAAAAACAAAACTGCGCGAGACCACTGAAGTAAAATATGGAAAAAATAAAATTGCTAATTCTTGCCGACATTTCATCGGAGACATTAGCCAGGAGAAGATCCCTGAAACCATTGTTGGAACAAATGAGGGAGAAGAAAGTTCGATTATAACTGGGGTTTCCCAGCATGTCTGATTGGGTGGAAAGATGGGAAATTGGCAAGACAGATCCCCAGAAGAACTAATTGACTTCTGTGAAAAACTTCTAGAAAAACTAGAAAGACTAGGTTGGACAGGGGGGTTTGAAGAGGGTTTGGGGCTTGGAAGAGAAAAATGGCAGAGGGTTTCTAAAAGGAGAACATGAACCGGTGTGGGAGGGAGATTAGCTACACCTGCATTTTCCCCCCCCCCCCCCCCCCCCCCACACACACTTTTTTTTTTTTTTTTTTTTTTTTTTTTTTTCTTTCCTCCCCTCTTCCTCTCTTTTGTGTCCCTCCTCTCTTTCTCTCTTTTGTTTTTTTGTTTTTTGTTTTTTTCCTTTTCCCCACTGGTGGCATGGTTCCCTAATTGGATAAAGCAGGAGGGTTGGCTAAGCACCAGGACCTACAAGGAAGATTAGCAGGAAATGTAGGGAAGTATGGAGATCAAACTTGCTTCTAAACTCAAGATCCCCTATGGCATGGGAGAGGGAGCAGAGTAGCGTGTGTCCAGAGCCACACCCCAAATTAGGAATCGATAGTGGGAAGGACCCATGACAGACTCCAGGGCAATATTTAGGCCAAGGGTTGTTTATTTTAGGGAAGGAATGGGGTGGATGGAGGTTGGGTTGGGGGAGTGGAGTAGTTGGGTGAGGGGTGGAATAGAGGGAAGGTCCATGATTTGAGTAGTCTATATATCTTTTTCTTTGAACAGAAATGTGGAGGAGAAGAGAAAATATTAGATGGCTATGAGCCTGATTAATTTTACGACATATAACGTGAAAGGTTTAAATTCTCCCACTAAAAGACACAAGATACTTAGGGAAGTTCACCTACTTTCAACAAATGTAGTGTTTTTTACAAGAGACACATTTATCATATGAAACTAATGTTAAATTATATTTGAGGTACTATCCAACTTGGTATTATGCACACTCGCCACCAAAGAGAGCAAAAGGAGTGGCGATTGGGTTCTCAAAGTGTGAGCTTTGATTTGGAGGGGAAATTGGTGGACCCAGAGGGCCGTTTTCTATGCTTAAGAGGGAAAAGGGGGGGACAAAACTATACATTGGCCAATATTTATTGCCTGAATCAAAACCCAGAAGTATTTCTATATGGAGTGTTGGGGAAAATTATGGACTTTAGGAGAGGGTAGTCTTATCTTGGCAGGAGATTTTTGTTTGGACCTATGGATGGATACATCTTTAAATGCGCAGAGAGGAGGTGGTAAAAAACTAAGTATGTTGAAAAAGATATTACATCAAAGTCAGCTAATAGATGCATGGAGAGTGAAACATCCCAGAGGAAAAGATTATACCTTCTCTCTAGCTCGTAGATCGTATTCACGTTTAGATTACATAATGATCGAACATAGACAAATTCACTCTGGTGAAGTCTTCTCTTGATTGTTGACTTTGACACACATACACCTACCTCCTGGAGAGTGTTCTTGATCTGGCCAACTGTTGTGAAGGGTGTTTTCTTCACCAGGGAAAGAATTCTTCGGTCATCCACCACAGTTGTTTTCAGTAGTCTTCCGGGTCTTTTGGTGTTGCTGAGCTCACCGGTGCGTT